CTCAGACGTCCAGGACATGATGGACCTGCAGCATGAACGTCTCCAGACTCAGACGTCCAGGACATGATGGACCTGCAGCATGAACGTCTCCAGACTCAGACGTCCAGGACATGATGGACCTGCAGCATGAACGTCTCCAGACTCAGACGTCCAGGACATGATGGACCTGCAGCATGAACGTCTCCAGACTCAGACGTCCAGGACATGATGGACCTGCAGCATGAACGTCTCCAGACTCAGACGTCCAGGACATGATGGACCTGCAGCATGAACGTCTCCAGACTCAGACGTCCAGGACATGATGGACCTGCAGCGTGAACGTCTCCAGACTCAGATGTCCAGGACATGATGGACCTGCAGCATGAACGTCTCCAGACTCAGACGTCCAGGACATGATGGACCTGCAGCATGAACGTCTCCAGACTCAGACGTCCAGGACATGATGGACCTGCAGCATGAACGTCTCCAGACTCAGACGTCCAGGACATGATGGACCTGCAGCATGAACGTCTCCAGACTCAGACGTCCAGGACATGATGGACCTGCAGCATGAACGTCTCCAGACTCAGACGTCCAGGACATGATGGACCTGCACCATGAACGTCTCCAGACTCAGACGTCCAGGACATGATGGACCTGCACCATGAACGTCTCCAGACTCAGACGTCCAGGACATGATGGACCTGCAGCATGAACGTCTCCAGACTCAGACGTCCAGGACATGATGGACCTGCAGCATGAACGTCTCCAGACTCAGACGTCCAGGACATGATGGACCTGCAGCATGAACGTCTCCAGACTCAGACGTCCAGGACATGATGGACCTGCAGCATGAACGTCTCCAGACTCAGACGTCCATAAAGAAGCTCGTCAGGCTGTTTGCGCTGATGACAGCTTTCTGGCGGGAGGTCTGCAGCTCCTCCTTGCCTGCTTGCGTAACGTCTGCGTAGCTGCTTCCTATCATCGTCATTCTGTGGTTTAACGGTTAAAAGTGAGAAGAGTCGCAGACAGTCAGACTGCAGAGAGAGGAGCCGTCGATGGTGAGTCCACACCTGTCTGTCTGTTCAGAGGCTGGAGGTCTGGGTAGGACAGGAGAACAGCTTTAGGTCAGCCTTATGGTCGTCACGGTTACAGCACAGGAGAGGATGCATGCAGTTCACAGAGCAGATTCATTCATGGAGTTATTAAAAAACGTGGGATTAAAACTTTAACTGTTGTTTAAACTGAAATATGGAATCTAGACAGAAATGAACCCTTATATGGGGGGGGGGTAAATGTTTAAGCTCTCACTTTTTCATCAGTTCCTAAAAACTGATGAAGAGTGAATTAGATCCAAAGAGAGAAAGTTTTACTGTCAGGTTTTTATTTTCTAACAGTCAGAACAGGAAATGATGTAACAAAGAGACGGAGAGCCGTAAACATGTTTGTTTTTTCTAGATACATGATCGCCGTAAACATGACCTCCATGGATGACATCATCACAGGAATGACCACTGAGGTAAGTGTCCGGGTACCGACCACGGTACTTCCTGAGCTGGGGGGGTGGGGGTGTCCAGCAGGTGTATTCAGGTGTGTCCTCTGTCTCCTGGTAGGACCCCTTCAGTTCTTCAGCCACCACTGAGGATGATTATGACTATGGAGAGGTTGACAACATCTCCAACCTGATGTGCGACCGCCAGTCGGTGCGGGACTTCAGGAGTCGCTACGAGCCGCCCTTTTTCTGGATCATCACCCTTGTGGGCGGAGCCGGGAACCTGGCCGTGGTCTGGATCTACCTGAGCTTCCGTAAGCGGCTGAAGACCATGACCGACGTGTACCTGCTGAACCTGGCGGTGGCCGACCTCCTGTTCCTGGTCACGCTGCCACTGTGGGCCGCCGAAGCGTCTCACGGCTGGATCTTTGGCCCCGCCATGTGCAAGATAAACTCCGCCCTCTACAAGGTGAACCTGTTCAGCAGCATCATGCTCCTGACCTGTATCAGTGTGGATCGCTACATCGTCATTGTGCAGACCACCAAGGCCCAAAACTCTCAGATGGAGCGCCGCCGCTGCAGCCGGCTGGTGTGCGCCGGCGTTTGGCTGCTGGCGCTGCTCCTCGCCGTCCCTGAGCTGTCCTTCGCCGTCCCTGCCAACTCCTACTGCAGGATGGTTTACCCTTCCAACCTGGGAAACCGCACCAAAATCCTGGTTCTGTCGCTACAGGTGAGCATGGGTTTCTTCATACCCTTCATGGTCATGGCCTTCTGCTACAGCGTCATCATCGCCAAGCTGCTCAAGACTCGTAACTTTGAGAAGCACAAAGCCATGCGAGTGATCCTGGCCGTAGTGGTGGTGTTCATCGTGTCCCAGCTGCCCTACAACAGCATGCTGGTGATGGAGGCCACGCAGGCTTCCAACATGACTGTGACGGACTGCGAGAAGGTCAAGGCCATAGACATGGCCAGCCAGGTGCTGAAGAGCATCGCCTACATGCACGCCTGCCTCAACCCCTTCCTCTACGTGTTTGTCGGGGTCCGCTTCCGCCGTGACATAAAGCGGCTGCTGCACTGCTGCCTGCCACAGTCCACCAAGACCCCCCTGGGGAAGACCAGGAGTCCTCTGAGCTCCACCAGGATCTCGGTGATGTCTGACAGCGATACCTCCCATGCCCTGTCATTGTAGAGAGGCGGCGATTCAACATCCTGTTTATGCTGCATCAGCCTGAATGTCGCAAGATGGGTGACGACAGGAAGAGCTGGCCGTTCTGCTCCAGCTTCAAGATGCATGCTGCTTAACTTCTGTCTCAGCTGTGACTCTGCAGTCTCAAGATCTTCAACATCTAGAACCACAATGACCCTTCAAACCTGTCCGTTAAACCCTTAAACCGCTCAGGAGACTGGTCCGCCTATTTCTGATTGGGGGGAGCAGCATGTGGAGCCATGTCAGCTCCTGACCTTCCTTCCCTTTATGGTCGACCTTCTCCACCTGGAGAGGTCAGACTTTCTGTCCAAGCAGACCCCAAGTTTCATCTCCACATGCAGAACAACCAAGATCTCAGGACTGTTTCATGATGTCATGATGAACTTTATCAGGACTCTCCTGAACTGTGAAGCTTGTTTTCAAACAGAAGCTGGGACTTTAGGAGCTGCTGCTGCTGTGGTGACTGTCCTGTTCTGACCTATGAGGTCACATTGAGCCCAATGTCTGTTTTCTGTCTTATAAATGTGAGTTTTGTGTTTTTCTTTAATGATGTTTAAACCTGTCACCACTGCTAAGGTGTGCCGGCCGAGGCTGCCCAGGGCCCGGCTCTCTGCTGCTGTACAGAATCTGCTGTGAGTTCATTGACTGTACAGGTTTTTATCTTGGTTATTCACAATAAAACCAGTTGAACGTGTTTTCAGTTTGTGAGCCTGAAGATGAAAAGGAACCTTATGAAAGGCGGTCACATCCCCGCCCCCCCCACCGTTCTCATGCAGAACTCTGATCACAAACATCACATGTTTTATTGGAACATCTGAGCTCCAGCGTCATCTGCAGAAAGAGGAAGCCAAACTTTTGCAGAAGTGACACCTAAAGCTTTTTCTCCCTGAAACAGCCGACAACTGACACAACGTTAGTCCTACCAAAATAAAGGCTTTGTCTTGTTCCTGTTTACAAGTTCTGCTCATAGGAAACTGATAGATGACTGAGCAATCACCTGCAGACAGGAAGTGTCTGTGCAGCCGTGATTAACGCTGCAGTGAAACTTCCTGTCCAATGTCAAAACAACCTAAAAACTACGTCAGAGGAGAAATACTGGAGATCAACTGGAGAATTGAACTACTTCACATTATATACAAATACTTCAAAATAAAATCACTTCAAAAGGGAAAAAAGCTCAAATTAAAAAGAAATAGTTTACAAAATTTATAAATTAAAAACATCATAGGTGCTTTATAGTAATATAAAAAAAAAAAAAAAGCATTCTATTCAGTTTATTTCTATAGCTCCAATTCCCATCATGTCATCTCAGGTCACTTTCCAGTTCACCAGATCATCCAGTCAGATTGATTCAAAGTTTTCTATCCAAGGAAAACCAGCTGATTGCATCGACTCATTGACTCTTCAGCAATCCCTCACACTAAGCATGCTTGTAGCGACAGTGGAGAGGAAAAATTCCCTTTGAACAGGAAGAAACCTCCAGCAGAACCAGGCTCAGTGTGAGCGGCCATCTGCTGAGGCCCACTGGGGTTCAAGGAGACAGAAGCAGACATAGAAAAAGAAGCATAGAAGCAGTGATCTATAAACACTTTCTATGTCTGGGAAACAAACAGATGAGCTCTGAGCCAGATTTCCTGTCAAAGCTTTAAAACAGAGAGCATAAAGTTACATAGACATGGATAGACCTTGCATCATGTGGTGAGAGGCATGCTGGCAGAGCGGCCATCTTTGGTCAGACTGAGCTCTAAGCTGAGGCTAGTCAATTGAGCCTAACCCTACTTTATGACTTTAGACACTCTGTGACTCTCAGCCTATGTCCAGATAAATGGACTGACTGAAAACGTTGTTCCACAGGCAACATTGACCAACTGGTTGATCACTTTGTAATTTGAATGATTGTGTTTAAATAAATATAACGCTGATCTAGAATCAGAGCAAATTAAACTTCTTAATGGAACAATTCCTTCAATCCATTCTAAGGCCAATATGATCCAAAACATTTCTCCTTTGGAGGCTGAATTCCATCACTGATTCTTTTACCCCATTTAAAATTTAATTCTGTAACTAGAAGGAAACACAATTCCTAATATTGGAATCTTTTGAAGCATCCCTAAAAAAATTCCCATATCTAAAATATTTTTATCTAAATATTGTTAAACCATATTTGAATGTGAAATATCCTCCTAATTTCTCTTTTTAAACAGCAAAATTAAATCGATATCAATGAGGTGATGATCTAATAACGTTTTTACTGACATTTATATCATGATCGGTTTAACGAATCTGAGCCACATGCAGAGGAACCACTCAGAGAGCACAGAGCAGGTTTATTAAGGAGTCAGAGGAGTGGATGTGGAACTCAGTGAGCTGGTGACCTGGAACTGGAAGTGAGAAGGGGAAGTTCAATGGTCAGTTCAGGTTCTGTGGGAAACTTGGAAGCTCTGATATCTAACGTGGTTTAGAACTCACGTTTGAAGGGGGCCTTGTTAGGCTTTGAATCCAGACTGTGTGGTGAATCCAGAGTGAGGTGCACATGTTGGAGGGCGGACAGGTTTGACCCGCGTAGGACCCGGAGGAGAAATGGAGCGGACTGTCACTCAGATTTCCCATGGGAACTTAAACAGAACATATGGAGGTTTTCCCCTACTCAGTGTGACTCAGTTTATCCTTCCAGGGGGAGAAGGTCCAGGAATCCAGTAACACAGGAAGGCTTCCTGCCGAGGAGCAAAGACAAAAACATGTTAGGCTCAGATAAAACAAAGCTAGGTTAGACTCAGCTAATCTCAGCTTGGCTAGAGTACCCAAAAGAGCGCAGAGAGCAGGTGGAGCGCAGAGAGCAGGTGGAGCGCAGAGAGCAGGTGGAGCGCACAGCTGGCGTTGAGCGCAGAGAGCAGGTGGAGCGCAGAGAGCAGGTGGAGCGCAGAGAGCAGGTGGAGCGCACAGCTGGCGTTGAGCGCAGAGAGTAGGTGGAGCGCAGAGAGCATGTGGAGCGCACAGCTGGCGTTGAGCGCAGAGAGCAGGTGGAGCGCAGAGAGCAGGTGGAGCGCACAGCTGGCGTTGAGCGCAGAGAGCAGGTGGAGCGCAGAGAGCAGGTGGAGCGCAGAGAGCAGGTGGAGTGCACAGCTGGCGTTGAGCGCAGAGAGCAGGTGGAGCGCAGAGAGCAGGTGGAGCGCAGAGAGCAGGTGGAGCGCACAGCTGGCGTTGAGCGCAGAGAGCAGGTGGAGCGCAGAGAGCAGGTGGAGCGCAGAGAGCAGGTGGAGCGCACAGCTGGCGTTGAGCGCAGAGAGCAGGTGGAGCGCAGAGAGCAGGTGGAGCGCACAGCTGGCGTTGAGCGCAGAGAGCAGGTGGAGCGCACAGCTGGCGTTGAGCGCAGAGAGCAGGTGGAGCGCAGAGAGCAGGTGGAGCGCAGAGAGCAGGTGGAGCGCACAGCTGGCATTGAGCGCAGAGAGCAGGTGGAGCGCACAGCTGGCGTTGAGCGCAGAGAGCAGGTGGAGCGCAGAGAGCAGGTGGAGCGCAGAGAGCAGGTGGAGCGCACAGCTGGCGTTGAGCGCAGAGAGCAGGTGGAGCGCAGAGAGCATGTGGAGCGCACAGCTGGCGTTGAGCGCAGAGAGTAGGTGGAGCGCAGAGAGCATGTGGAGCGCACAGCTGGCGTTGAGCGCAGAGAGCAGGTGGAGCGCAGAGAGCAGGTGGAGCGCACAGCTGGCGTTGAGCGCAGAGAGCAGGTGGAGCGCAGAGAGCAGGTGGAGCGCAGAGAGCAGGTGGAGCGCAGAGAGCAGGTGGAGCGCACAGCTGGCATTGAGCGCAGAGAGCAAGTGGAGCGCAGAGAGCAGGTGGAGCGCAGAGAGCAGGTGGAGCGCAGAGAGCAGGTGGAGCGCAGAGAGCAGGTGGAGCGCAGAGAGCAGGTGGAGCGCAGAGAGCAAGTGGAGCGCAGAGAGCAGGTGGAGCGCAGAGAGCAGGTGGAGCGCAGAGAGCAGGTGGAGCGCAGAGAGCAGGTGGAGCGCACAGCTGGCATTGAGCGCAGAGAGCAGGTGGAGCGCAGAGAGCAGGTGGAGCGCAGAGAGCAGGTGGAGCGCAGAGAGCAGGTGGAGCGCAGAGAGCAGGTGGAGCGCACAGCTGGCGTTGAGCGCAGAGAGCAGGTGGAGCGCAGAGAGCAGGTGGAGCGCACAGCTGGCGTTGAGCGCAGAGAGCAGGTGGAGCGCAGAGAGCAGGTGGAGCGCAGAGAGCAGGTGGAGCGCACAGCTGGCATTGAGCGCAGAGAGCAGGTGGAGCGCAGAGAGCAGGTGGAGCGCAGAGAGCAGGTGGAGCGCACAGCTGGCGTTGAGCGCAGAGAGTAGGTGGAGCGCAGAGAGCATGTGGAGCGCAGAGAGCAGGTGGAGCGCACAGCTGGCGTTGAGCGCAGAGAGCAGGTGGAGCGCAGAGAGCAGGTGGAGCGCAGAGAGCAGGTGGAGCGCAGAGAGCAGGTGGAGTGCACAGCTGGCGTTGAGCGCAGAGAGCAGGTGGAGCGCAGAGAGCAGGTGGAGCGCAGAGAGCAGGTGGAGCGCAGAGAGCAGGTGGAGCGCACAGCTGGCATTGAGCGCAGAGAGCAGGTGGAGCGCAGAGAGCAGGTGGAGCGCACAGCTGGCATTGAGCGCAGAGAGCAAGTGGAGCGCAGAGAGCAGGTGGAGCGCAGAGAGCAGGTGGAGCGCAGAGAGCAGGTGGAGCGCAGAGAGCAGGTGGAGTGCACAGCTGGCATTGAGCGCAGAGAGCAGGTGGAGCGCAGAGAGCAGGTGGAGCGCAGAGAGCAGGTGGAGCGCAGAGAGCAGGTGGAGCGCACAGCTGGCATTGAGCGCAGAGAGCAGGTGGAGCGCAGAGAGCAGGTGGAGCGCACAGCTGGCATTGAGCGCAGAGAGCAAGTGGAGCGCAGAGAGCAGGTGGAGCGCAGAGAGCAGGTGGAGCGCAGAGAGCAGGTGGAGTGCACAGCTGGCATTGAGCGCAGAGAGCAGGTGGAGCGCAGAGAGCAGGTGGAGCGCAGAGAGCAGGTGGAGCGCAGAGAGCAGGTGGAGCGCACAGCTGGCGTTGAGCGCAGAGAGCAGGTGGAGCGCAGAGAGCAGGTGGAGCGCACAGCTGGCATTGAGCGCAGAGAGCAGGTGGAGCGCAGAGAGCAGGTGGAGCGCAGAGAGCAGGTGGAGCGCAGAGAGCAGGTGGAGCGCACAGCTGGCATTGAGCGCAGAGAGCAGGTGGAGCGCAGAGAGCAGGTGGAGTGCACAGCTGGCGTTGAGCGCAGAGAGCAGGTGGAGCGCAGAGAGCAGGTGGAGCGCACAGCTGGCGTTGAGCGCAGAGAGCAGGTGGAGCGCACAGCTGGCGTTGAGCGCAGAGAGCAGGTGGAGCGCACAGCTGGCGTTGAGCGCAGAGAGCAGGTGGAGCGCAGAGAGCAGGTGGAGCGCACAGCTGGCATTGAGCGCAGAGAGCAGGTGGAGCGCAGAGAGCAGGTGGAGTGCACAGCTGGCGTTGAGCGCAGAGAGCAGGTGGAGCGCAGAGAGCAGGTGGAGCGCAGAGAGCAGGTGGAGCGCACAGCTGGCATTGAGCGCAGAGAGCAGGTGGAGCGCAGAGAGCAGGTGGAGCGCAGAGAGCAGGTGGAGCGCAGAGAGCAGGTGGAGCGCACAGCTGGCATTGAGCGCAGAGAGCAGGTGGAGCGCAGAGAGCAGGTGGAGCGCAGAGAGCAGGTGGAGCGCACAGCTGGCATTGAGCGCAGAGAGCAGGTGGAGCGCAGAGAGCAGGTGGAGCGCAGAGAGCAGGTGGAGCGCAGAGAGCAGGTGGAGCGCACAGCTGGCATTGAGCGCAGAGAGCAGGTGGAGCGCAGAGAGCAGGTGGAGTGCACAGCTGGCGTTGAGCGCAGAGAGCAGGTGGAGCGCAGAGAGCAGGTGGAGCGCAGAGAGCAGGTGGAGCGCACAGCTGGCATTGAGCGCAGAGAGCAGGTGGAGCGCAGAGAGCAGGTGGAGCGCAGAGAGCAGGTGGAGCGCAGAGAGCAGGTGGAGCCGCAGAGAGCAGGTGGAGTGCACAGCTGGCATTGAGCGCACGAGGAGAGCAGGTTGGAGCGCAGAGAGCAGGTGGAGCGCACAGCTGGCGTTGAGCGCAGAGAGCAGGTGGAGCGCAGAGAGCAGGTGGAGCGCAGAGAGCAGGTGGAGCGCAGGAGAGCAGGTGGAGTGCACAGCTGGCATTGAGCGCAGAGAGCAGGTGGAGCGCAGAGAGCAGGTGGAGCGCAGAGAGCAGGTGGAGCGCAGAGAGCAGGTGGAGTGCACAGCTGGCATTGAGCGCAGAGAGCAGGTGGAGCGCAGAGAGCAGGTGGAGCGCAGAGAGCAGGTGGAGCGCACAGCTGGCGTTGAGCGCAGAGAGCAGGTGGAGCGCAGAGAGCAGGTGGAGCGCAGAGAGCAGGTGGAGCGCAGAGAGCAGGTGGAGTGCAGAGAGCAGGTGGAGCGCAGAGAGCAGGTGGAGCGCAGAGAGCAGGTGGAGTGCACAGCTGGCATTGAGCGCAGAGAGCAGGTGGAGCGCAGAGAGCAGGTGGAGCGCAGAGAGCAGGTGGAGCGCAGAGAGCAGGTGGAGCGCAGAGAGCAGGTGGAGTGCACAGCTGGCATTGAGCGCAGAGAGCAGGTGGAGCGCAGAGAGCAGGTGGAGCGCAGAGAGCAGGTGGAGCGCAGAGAGCAGGTGGAGCGCAGAGAGCAGGTGGAGCGCAGAGAGCAAGTGGAGCGCACAGCTGGCATTGAGCGCAGAGAGCAGGTGGAGCGCAGAGAGCAGGTGGAGCGCAGAGAGCAGGTTGGAGCGCACAGCTGGCATTGAGCGCAGAGAGCAGGTGGAGCGCAGAGAGCAGGTGGAGCGCAGAGAGCAGGTGGAGCGCAGAGAGCAGGTGGAGCGCAGAGAGCAGGTGGAGTGCACAGCTGGCAATGAGCGCAGAGAGCAGGTGGAGCGCAGAGAGCAGGTGAGCGCAGAGAGCAGGTGGAGCGCACAGCTGGCATTGAGCGCAGAGAGCAGGTGGAGCGCAGAGAGCAGGTGGAGCGCAGAGAGCAGGTGGAGTGCACAGCTGGCATTGAGCGCAGAGAGCAGGTGGAGCGCAGAGAGCAGGTGGAGCGCAGAGAGCAGGTGGAGCGCACAGCTGGCATTGAGCGCAGAGAGCAGGTGGAGCGCAGAGAGCAGGTGGAGCGCAGAGAGCAGGTGGAGCGCAGAGAGCAGGTGGAGCGCACAGCTGGCGTTGAGCGCAGAGAGCAGGTGGAGCGCAGAGAGCAGGTGGAGCGCAGAGAGCAGGTGGAGCGCACAGCTGGCTTGAGCACAGAGAGCAGGTGGAGCGCAGAGAGCAGGTGGAGCGCAGAGAGCAGGTGGAGCGCAGAGAGCAGGTGGAGCGCAGAGAGCAGGTGGAGCGCAGAGAGCAGGTGGAGCGCAGAGAGCAGGTGGAGCGCACAGCTGGCTTGAGCACAGAGAGCGGGTGGAGCGCAGAGAGCAGGTGGAGCTCACAGCTGGCGTTGAGCGCAGAGAGCAGGTGGAGCGCAGAGAGCAGGTGGAGCGCAGAGAGCAGGTGGAGCGCAGAGAGCAGGTGGAGCGCAGAGAGCAGGTGGAGCGCACAGCTGGCGTTGAGCGCAGAGAGCAGGTGGAGCGCAGAGAGCAGGTGGAGCGCAGAGAGCAGGTGGAGCGCAGAGAGCAGGTGGAGTGCACAGCTGGCGTTGAGCGCAGAGAGCAGGTGGAGCGCAGAGAGCAGGTGGAGCGCAGAGAGCAGGTGGAGCGCAGAGAGCAGGTGGAGCGCAGAGAGCAGGTGGAGCGCACAGCTGGCGTTGAGCGCAGAGAGCAGGTGGAGCGCAGAGAGCAGGTGGAGCGCAGAGAGCAGGTGGAGCGCAGAGAGCAGGTGGAGCGCAGAGAGCAGGTGGAGCGCACAGCTGGCGTTGAGCGCAGAGAGCAGGTGGAGCACAGAGAGCAGGTGGAGCGCAGAGAGCAGGTGGAGCGCAGAGAGCAGGTGGAGCGCACAGCTGGCGTTGAGCGCAGAGAGCAGGTGGAGCGCAGAGAGCAAGTGGAGCGCAGAGAGCAGGTGGAGCGCAGAGAGCAGGTGGAGTGCACAGCTGGCGTTGAGCGCAGAGAGCAGGTGGAGCGCAGAGAGCAGGTGGAGCGCAGAGAGCAGGTGGAGCGCAGAGAGCAGGTGGAGCGCAGAGAGCAGGTGGAGCGCACAGCTGGCGTTGAGCGCAGAGAGCAGGTGGAGCGCAGAGAGCAGGTGGAGCGCACAGCTGGCGTTGAGCGCAGAGAGCAGGTGGAGCGCAGAGAGCAGGTGGAGCGCAGAGAGCAGGTGGAGCGCAGAGAGCAGGTGGAGCGCAGAGAGCAGGTGGAGCGCAGAGAGCAGGTGGAGCGCGAGCAGAGATGGATCTGAAGCAGCCCCCCCACCACCACCACCTCTCCCACTGAGTGTCTAAATGTGGTCCAACATCCACAGCTGAGCATGATCACTGGAAGCAAAGCCAGAATGTCTGACCCCTCCCCTCCAGAGCCCTGGACACGCCCACCCTGATGCCCTAAACACGGAGGCCTGGAAATGATGCCGACTAAGGTGATCATTCAAACTCTTTATTTATTGAACATTTATTCCAGCTGTGAACCTCTGGTTCTGTTCAGGTGCTTCTGTCAGTAACTCCTGACAACCTTCAGGTGTTTCTCCATAAATCAGAGATAACCCAGCCAGCGCTAAGCTCCTGTCCTGTCCCGAGGACATTCATGGGACCACGGCGGCTCAGGAGGGAAGGGTCTGCCCTATAACTGCTAGGATGATGGTTCATGTCTGGCAGTCTTCATCATTGTGCCCATGAGCAAGGCCCGTCCCCCACCTAGCCTGCTGTTGGTGGTCAGAGAGTCCGGTGGTGCCTGGGTGCATCATCAAGGACACATGAGAACTGTGTGAACGGATGGAGGGCAGAGGCCGAGGGCAGCTCTCCCACAGGATGAGGAACCTGACCTCAGATCAGGGTTGGATGTCAGTCTGTCACGAGTTCCTCAGATGAGACCAAAACAAAATGTGACAAAAAGAGAAGTGAGGAATGAGACGACATCTCGACCAGCTGTCTGTCTGAGGACCAATCAGCATCAGGCTAGCAGACATGATGTCACCAGAGGAGGCGTCCAGCTGTCTGGAGCAGCTGTCAGGTTGTGGGTGACCATGAGGACCTGCTGAGGTTCAGATGCTTCAGCTTTTCTGCTGCAGCTTTCAGCCTGACTCTGACTCTCAGCCTGCGGACGGATTCAGGCCTGAAGGGCCTCCATCCGTCAGAGCAGCAGGGAAAGTTCTGCACCACTTCCTGCCGGTGCTTTCAGCGCTTCCTGCTGAGATTGACTGGTGGTAAATCTGAAGGGCTGCCTGGGAGTTTCCACTGTACTGCAGGTTCTGCTCTGAGTCAGAGGGAAAGCAAACTATCTGCAGCAGCAGCACCGAGTCATTGTGAAGCTCTCTGCAGCGTTCCTCTCAGTCCTCCATCGGTTCTACTAAAACCCCCCAGCTGAAGGAGAAACTGGAGCAGACTGATCAGAGGCGGTCCATCAGAGAGCCAGTCCCTGAACCGGGACCAGCCCACCAGTCTGGGTCGACTGAGGCTTATGACATGAACTCCTTTAGTTCTGCTAGGTTTAGTCTTAGAAGGCTCCGGTGCTGCCCTCTATGGGTGGAAGGGTGGCTGGTTCAGCTCCGGCATCACTGGTCAGCGCTGTAAAACAAGCGATTCTGGTCCGATGGTTCCCCTAAACATCCGGTGATGAGGGGGTGACACTGATACTCACAGATCTGAAGTTAGGACCCTCCCAAATTTCTTTATTTCTTTTCTCTATTTGTTTAGCACAATTCATTAAATGGGCAATTCAAAGTGCTTTAAACAAATTACATAATAAAATAGAAGCAGAATAAAAGCAAAAACATTTGTAAGGCAAATAAAACAACTTGGCATGTAACTGCATGGACTGATTCAGAGAATTGGAATATATGGAATCGGCAGCCATTTTTATTTGGCCTGATCACCTCTTCATTAACCGGAAACGAGTGCGTCACGTTATGGCCAGCCAAGAACTGGACCACAAAAAAGCAGAATAAAAAAGCAAGTAAAAAATGATAAAAGCACTAAAGGGCTTCTAGACGCTTCTTTATTGATTGATTTTATTGATCTCACAGTGGAGAAGTGTAGAAGGAGCCAGGAAGAAAAGGTGCATGATGGGAAATATACAGTGGATCCACAAAGGACAGCTTTATTTATAGCAGGATTATTATACAGGGTGTTTCCAGGTGTTTATACAGATGGATATTTCTATATATAGTTATTGGAAAGGGGTTAGATATAGACCATCCAGCAGATGAAGCTCTGACCCATCAGGAGGCAAGGAGAACCAGAACCTGACAGAGCAGAGACCAGCAGAACCTCAGATACCTGACCAGCCTCCACACTCACAACCCTACTTAGGCCCTGTAATGATGGGTTCTCCAAGAGAACCTGTTCCTGGACGTTCACCTCGGGAGCCAGAGGCTGCCGGGCGTGGAACGTCCAGAACCTGTTCATGGACATTCACCTCGGGAGCCAGAGGCTGCCGGGCGTGGAACGTCCAGAACCTGTTCATGGACGTTCTCTTTGGGGGCTCAGAGGCTGCCGAGCGCGGAACGTCCAGAACCTGTTCCTGGACGTTCTCTTTGGGGGCTCAGAGGCTGCCGAGCGTGGAACGTCCAGAACCTGTTCCTGGACGTTCTCCTCGGGAGCCAGAGGCTGCCGGGCGTGGAACGTCCAGAACCTGTTCATGGAAGTTCACCTCGGGAGCCAGAGGCTGCCGAGCGTGGAACGTCCAGAACCTGTTCATGGACGTTCTCCTCGGGGGCCAGAGGCTGCCGAGCGCGGAACGTCCAGAACCTGTTCCTGGACGTTCATCTCGGGGGCCAGAGGCTGCCGGGTGTGGAACGTCCAGAACCTGTTCCTGGACGTTCACCTCGGGAGCCAGAGGCTGCCGGGCGTGGAACCTCCAGAACCTTTTCCTGGACGTTCACCTCGGGGGCCAGAGGCTGCCGGGCGTGAAAAGTCCAGAACCTTTTCCTGGACGTTCACCTCGGGGGCCAGAGGCTGCCGGGCGTGAAAAGTCCAGAACCTGTTCTTGGACGTTCTCCTCAGGGGGTCAGAGGCTGCTGAGCGTGGAACGTCCAGAACCTGTTCCTGGACGTTCTCTTTGGGGGCTCAGAGGCTGCCGAGCGCGGAACGTCCAGAACCTGTTCCTGGACGTTCACCTCGGGGGCCAGAGGCTGCCGGGTGTGGAACGTCCAGAACCTTTTCCTGGACGTTCACCTCGGGAGCCAGAGGCTGCCGGGCGTGGAACGTCCAGAACCTTTTCCTGGACGTTCACCTCGGGGGCCAGAGGCTGCCGGGCGTGAAAAGTCCAGAACCTGTTCTTGGACGTTCTCCTCAGGGGGTCAGAGGCTGCTGAGCGTGGAACGTCCAGAACCTGTTCCTGGACGTTCTCCTCGGGGGCCAGAGGCTGCCGGGCGTGGAACGTCCAGAACCTTTTCCTGGACGTTCACCTCGGGGGCCAGAGGCTGCCGGGCGTGGAACGTCCAGAACCTGTTCCTGGATGTTCTCCTCGGGGGGTCAGAGGCTGCGGGGCGTGGAACGTCCAGAACCTTTTCCTGGACGTTCACCTCGGGGGCCAGAGGCTGCCGGGCGTGGAACGTCCAGAACCTTTTCCTGGACGTTCACCTCGGGGGCCAGAGGCTGCCAGGCGTGGAACGTCCAGAACCTTTTCCTGGACGTTCACCTCGGGGGCCAGAGGCTGCCGGGCGTGGAACGTCCAGAACCTGTTCCTGGACGTTCTCCTCGGGGGGTCAGAGGCTCCTGAGCGAGGACCGTCCAGAACCTGTTCCTGGACGTTCTCCTCTGGGGCTCAGAGGCTGCCGGGCGTGAAAAGTCCAGAACCTGTTCCTGGACGTTCTCCTCAGGGCTCAGAGGCTGCTGAGCGAGGAACGTCCAGAACCTGTTCCTGGACGTTCTCCTCAGGGCTCAGAGGCTGCTGAGCTAGTGTGCCGGTCAGGCAACCTGTTTCACGTCTCTTCCTGAACCCAACCCCACCTGCTGATGCAGCAGGAATGTGACCCCAGGTTTAAGGGGACAAAAGCCCTCGGTGCTCAGAGCACAAACAGCCTGTGAACAAAGCGGGCCGTGTTTCCAGAACACCGTCCTCCCATAAATCCTGCAGGCGAGCAGCTGTGGGGGGTTTGACACTGGGACCTGCTGAGCGTCATGCCTCTGCCCCGACGCCACTCATCCTTTCTGGGACAGTCATCATCAGAGCGCCCGGCCTCCACCTCTTGTGGGAGGATGGCTGCAGCGGGGACCACTGCCCCCCGGGGTGTCTTTGTGGGGTCCGCTCCAACGCTGTGTCCAGCATCAGGGCTAGGGACGCGTGTGTCCCGCAGGGCTCTGGGAATCAGCAGTGTGTTCATGCAGGGGATGAGGAGCACCGCCATGCCGGTTCTGCCCCGGGCTGGGGAGAGGGGTGCAGGAACGGGATCTATGGCGATGGGCCTGAACAGCTGCTTGATGGAGTACCGGGACAAAGTGAGAGCGCTGGAACAACTGAACCAACAGCTGGAGGAACAGATCCGACTGTGTCTGGACCGCAAGGCTGCCAGTGCCGGGGCCTGGGGGCCTCTGAGGAGGGACTGGGAAGACATTTACAGACAGGTAAGGATGGGGTGGACTCAGGAAGGACGGGGGAAGGAAGGAGGAAAGACAGAGGGAAGATGGAAGGAGGACAGAGGGAGGACAGAGGGAGGATGGAAGGAGGACAGAGGGAGGATGGAGGACGGAAGGAGGGAGAACAGAGGGAGGATGGAGGGAGGACAGAGGGAGGACGGAGGAAGGAAGGAGGGAGGACAGAGGGAGGATGGAGGGAGGACGGAGGGAGGACAGAGGGAGAACAGAGGGAAGATGGAGAGAGGAAGGAGGGAGGACAGAGGGAGGATGGAAGGAGGACAGAGGGAGGACAGAGGGAGGACAGAGGGAGAACAGAGGGAAGACGGAGGGAGGATGGAGAGAGGACGGAGGGAGGACGGAGGGAGGATGGAGACAGGACAGAGGGAGGACGGAGGGAGGATGGAGGGAGGACGGAGGGAGGACGGAGGGAGGGAGGACGGAGGAAGGACGGAGGGAGGACGGGGGGAGGGCGGAGGGAGGACAGAGGGAGGGAGGACAGAGGGAGGACATGGCTCCTTGGTTTGGAGGTTAGGGGGACTGAAGGTCTGATTTCCTACTTCCTGCAGGTCAGTGAAGCCATCCTGGACAACGCTCGCCTAATGCTGCAGACAGAGAACATCCAAGCCAATGCTGAGGACTTCAAAGAAAGGTCAGAACCTCCTCAGATGGTCTGATGGGGGGGAGGTAGAGAGAGGTGGTGGGGACATTAAATCAGAGAGCAGAACAATCACATGTGGGGTTCCTCAAGGCTTCATTCTGGGGTCCCTCCTGTTTAACTTTAAATGAACTTCCTTTGCCTTGGTGATGTCCGTCTGCAGGTATGAGAATGAACAACCCTTCAGGAGGGCGGTGGAGGACGAGATCAGCTCCCTGCACAGAGTGATCGAGGAGGCCACCATGACCAAGGTGGACCTGGAGGAGCAAATGGAGAACATGAGGGCTGAGCTGCGCAGTCTGGAGGACAACTATGAGCAGGTTCCACCACACCCTGGAAATCCACGTCTTGGCTCCGATCAAAGAGCTCTGATGAAGGTGAACACCTGCCCTTCTGTCCCTCCAGGATGTGCGGGGACTCTACAATCAGATGGCTGGACGGGAGGTGGATGAACCCGATGCTCCCATCGAGACCAGTCTGGACCAGATTCTGGCCCACATTAGGAGTCACTGGGAGAGGATGATGGAGAAAAACAGAGCAGAGACCGATGGCTGCCTGGAGTGCAAGGTGAGGACCAATCAGCTGGCAAGCTCAGCAAGTTTCCCCTCAGGTGTGTCTGACCCCGGTTTGATGCAGGAAGCGCAGAGTGTGGGGAGCCGGCTAAGTCCAGAGGAGGAGCAGGTGGAGGCACTGAAGACTGAATGCAGTGAGGTGGGGTGCAAGATCCAGAGTCTGCAGGCCGAGACCGAGTCCATCAGAGCATTGGTGAGGCATCATCCCTGACCTGATGACATTATTATCAACAATCTGATGACATCATAATCAATGACCCAATGACCTCATAATCACTGACCTGATGGCATTATTATCAGTGACTTGATGACAACAGGATTACTGGCCTGATGACATCATATTCATTGACCTGATGACATCATTATCAGTGACTTGATGACAACAGGATTACTGGCCTGATGACATCATATTCATTGACCTGATGACATCATTATCAGTGACTTGATGACAACAGGATTACTGACCTGATGACATCATTATCACTGACCTAATGACAACAGGATCACTGACCTGATGACATCATAATCAATGACCCGATTACATCATAATCCCTGACCTGATGACATCATTAGCAGTGACCTGGTGGACTCAAAAAATCCTGACCTGATTAAATCATAATCACTAATCTTATGACATCACATTACTGACTGACCTTATGACATAATATTAACTGACCTGATGATGTCACATTCACTGACTTGATGACATAATATTAACTGACCTGATGACATCACATTCACTGACCTGATGACATAATATTAACTGACCTGATGACATCACATTCACTGACCTGATGACACAATATTAACTGACCTGATGACATCACATTCACTGACCTGATGACATAATATTAACTAACCTGATGACATCACATTCACTGACCTGATGACACAATATTAACTGACCTGATGACATCACATTCACTGACCTGATGACACAATATTAACTGACCTGATGATGTCACATTCACTGACTTGATGACATAATATTAACTGACCTGATGACATCACATTCACTGACCTGATGACATAATATTAACTGACCTGATGACGTCACATTCACTGACCTGATGACACAATATTAACTGACCTGATGACATCACATTCACTGACCTGATGACATAATATTAACTGACCTGATGATATCATATTCACTGACCTGATGACATCATCATTGACCTGATGAAATCATAATTACTGAACGTATGAAATCAGGGTCGATGATCTGATGACATCATCATCAATGGTCTGATGACGTCATCAATGACCTGACGATATCAGTAACATGGTGTTGCAGAAACGAGGCTTGGAGAACTCCCTGGCGGATGCTCGCCACTGGCATGACGTGGAGCTGCAGAACCTTGGCTCTGTAGTGGCCAAGCTGGAGGCGGAGTTTAACGATGTACGAGGGGAGATTGAACAACAGCGCAGGGACTACGATGTGTTGCTTATGAACAGGCAGCGTCTGGAGCAGGAGATTGGCCTGTACCATGGCATCCTGGATGGGGAGGAGAGCCGCTACCTGCCCACCGACACTGCACAGTGAGTACTGGGAAGAAGAAGGGGAACACACCTGAAGAACCAGCAACACCTGCTCCAACACTCATCCTGAAACAGGGTCGGCAGTAGGGTTTTTTTTCTGGGGCCCTCTGGGGCCCCTGCTGAGAGGGCCTAGAGGAGCCCATGTATGTCAGCCCTGATGGTTAGCTGTGCCTTCAGTGTAGCTCACCACCATCAGTGGGTGGATGGCTTTATGTAGATTGAAGCTCTTTGGAGTGTTGGACATTTAACGCAATATACCAGTACACGCCACCTGTAACTGACCACCAACACCACCATTCTGCTGAAACATCAACCACACAGGCGGCGGTTCAGCTCAGTCTGACATTCAATACTACCAACGCTTTGAGATCTGCAGTGCAGAAACTAATTCACCTTAAATCAGACATTCAGATCAGTTGGATTAAGTGACTTAGATCATGGGAGTAGTTATCATTTAGTCCTAAAGAGCTGGCATCATGGACTCAGTTAAGGAGATAACCTTTTAATCTACCTGTGCAGGTGTGGAAGAGCTCCTGCTGAATCTAGGACTGATGCTCCCTCAGCTCCAGGACCTTCTGGACCAGCAGGACCACGGCCCCAGTAGTCCCCGCTCAGAATGAGACTCCTTCAGAACCGTGGTTTTCTTCGGTCCCTCATGTTTCAGATGTTGTCATGTTCATTATATCAGGGTCAGATGAACAGGGTCATGAGCAGAACTTGAAAAGAACCCGCTGATCCGACCATCGGAACCATCATACTGAACCAAGGACGCATCTCAAACATGTGAGACATGGGCTCATAGGGACCAGGAAGGGTTCTGCTTCCAGTCCAGAGACAGAATAATACTGTGTGTACAGTGATCATGACATTTCCTGCTTTGTTTCTTTCAAAATAAAAGGGAAGGAAATTGAATAAGATGCATTTGTGGAGTTTCTGAAAACGAATCATTAGTTGTTCCTGGACCAGAACCCGTCCCTGATTGAGGTCCATCCAGGTCTGGGTAACAGAACCGTCCCTGATTGAGGTCCATCCAGGTCTGGGTAACAGAACCGTCCCAGATTGAGGTCCATCCAGGTCTGGGTAACAGAACCGTCCCAGATTGAGGTCCATCCAGTTCTGGGTAACAGAACCGTCCCTGATTGAGGTCCATCCAGGTCTGGGTAACAGAACCGTCCCAGATTGAGGTCCATCCAGGTCTGGGTAACAGAACCGTCCCTGATTGAGGTCCATCCAGGTCTGGGTAACAGAACCGTCCCAGATTGAGGTCCATCCAGTTCTGGGTAACAGAACCGTCCCTGATTGAGGTCCATCCAGGTCTGGGTAACAGAACCGTCCTAGATTGAGGTTCATCCAGGTCTGGGTAACAGAACCGTCCCAGATTGAGGTCCATCCAGTTCTGGGTAACAGAACCGTCCCTGATTGAGGTCCATCCAGGTCTGGGTAACAGAACCGTCCCTGATTGAGGTCCATCCAGGTCTGGGTAACAGAACCGTCCCAGATTGAGGTCCATCCAGGTCTGGGTAACAGAACCGTCCTAGATTGAGGTTCATCCAGGTCTGGGTAACAGAACCGTCCCTGATTGAGGTCCATCCAGGTCTGGGTAACAGAACTGTCCCAGATTGAGGTTCATCCAGGTCTGGGTAACAGAACCGTCCCTGATTGAGGTCCATCCAGGTCTGGGTAACAGAACCGTCCCAGATTGAGGTCCATCCAGGTCTGGGTAACAGAACCGTCCCAGATTGAGGTCCATTAGGTCTTGGTAACAGAACCGTCCCAGATTGAGGTCCATCCAGGTCTGGGTAACAGAACCGTCCCAGATTGAGGTCCATCCAGGTCTGGGTAACAGAACCGTCCCAGATTGAGGTCCATCCAGGTCTGGGTAACAGAACCGTCCCAGATTGAGGTCCATCCAGGTCTGGGTAACAGAACCGTCCCAGACTGAGGTCCATCCAGGTCATCCTCAGCATATAAACATACAGGAATGAAAGGCAGGGACAAGGACACCTATTTTTTTTTCTAAACACTGACATACACCTGTGCTGCTCTAACCTGGGTGGGGCGACAGTGGCGTTGGATGTAGGAGTTTGCCCTGAAATCGAAGGGTTGACGGTTCAAGCCCTGACTCTGACTCTTAGTGTCGTTGTGTCCTTGGGCAAGACACTTCACCTGATGGTGGTCAGAGGGCCCGGTGGCGCCAGTGTACGGCGGCCCCGCTTCTGTCAGTGAGCCCCAGGGCAGCTGTGGCTACAATGTAGCTCACCACCATCAGTGTGTGAGTGAATGGGTGAATGAATGTGGTGTAAAGCGCTTTGGTCAAGTCTCCTGACCAAAATAAAGGCGCTATATAAGTACAGGACATTTACCATAACCTGATGAATACCCAGACATAAACACTGAATGACAAACGCCCTTGTGTGGTTCCAAAAAAGGTAAAAAACAATCCACTGGACTTTGTTTTGCTTCTCATACAGGAAGCTTTTTCAGCTCAAAGCTTATATGGTCTGTTTTATTTTAAATGGGAAAGAAGCTGCCCCTACTTAACCATGAACAACCACATGTTCCAGATAAACTAGGTGGCCTTGATACATGCTAAACATACTGGCTAAATCTAAACTCATCACTGGTTTAAATTTACTTAGATTCAGTTTATTTATATTGCACCAATTCCAACACGTAATTTTTTCTAGCTCTAGAGGCAGCTGTCAGAGAAAGAAAAATTAAACAGATGAGCTCTCAGCGAGTCTTCAAGTCAAACACATAAAACAGAGAGCAGAAAGTTAGAAATTGAACTAACAGATTCTGCAGAGTGGGAGAATATAGAATGAAGCAGAATGATGAAAAAGGGGTCCCTATGTCCTCCAGCAGTCTAAGCCTATAGCAGCAGAACTATAGAGATAGATCAGGATAACCTGAGCCACTCTAACTAGAAGCTTTATCAAAAAGGAAAGTTTTAAGCCTAGCCTTAAAAGTAGACAGGGTGTCTGCCTCACGGACTAAAACTGGTAGTTGGTTCCACAGGAGAGGAGCCTGAGAACTAAAAGATCTGCCTCCCATTCTACTTTTAGAAATTCTAGGAACCACTAGTAAACCTGCAGATTGAGAGCGAAGTGCTCTGTTAGGAACATAAGGAACAATCAGATCTCTGATATCAGATGGAGCTTGGCCATTTAAGGCTTTATATGTGAGAAGGAGGATTTTAAATTCTATTCTGGATTTAACAGGAAGCCAATGAAGAGAAGCCAGGATAGGAGAGATATGATCTCTCTTTTTCATTTTCATCAGAACTCTGGCTGCAGCATTTTGGATCAGCTGAAGGCTTTTAACTACAGTTTGTGGACTTCCTGATAGTAAAGAATTACAATAGTCCAGCCTTGAAGTAACAAATGCATGGACTAGTTTCTCAGCATCACCCCTGGACAGGAGATTGCTCATTTTTGCAATATTCCTCGGATGAAAGAAGGAAATTCTAGAAACCTCTTTGATCTGGGATTTAAATGACAGGTCCTGATCAAAAATAACACCAAGATTTTTTACTTTATTATCTGAAATCAGTTTAATCCCATCCAAATGAAGTGACTGACTAATCAGCTTCTTTTTCAGAGACTCTGGTCCAAAGACTATAACTTCTGTTTTGTCTGCATTCAGAAGCAGAAAGTTAAGAGTCATCCAGGTTTTTCTGTCTTCAGACATGCCTGTAATCTATGTAATGGGTTAGCTTCATCTGGATTATAGACAGATATAGCTGGGTATCATCAGCATAACAGTGGAAATTAATCCCATGCTGTCTAATAATTCTACCAATTGGGAGCATGTATAAAGTAAAGAGAATTGGTCCTAGCACTGATCCCTGTGGTACTCCACAGGTAACCTTTGAGCGTGTTGAAGATCTATCATTAACATGAACAAACTGAAATCGATCAGATAGATCAGATTTAAACCAGTCTAGTGCTGTTCCTTTAATTCCAACAAAATATTCAAGTCTTTCTAAAAGAATATTATGATCAACTGTATCAAATGCAGCACTAAGATCCAACAGGACGAGCACAGATACAAGTCCATTATCTGAGGCCATGAGAATATCATTAGTGACTTTCACCAGAGCTGTTTCAGTGCTATGATGAGCTCTAAAGCCAGACTGAAACTCTTCAAAAAGTTCATTATGGTGGAAGTGATCGCAAACTTGTTTGGCAACTACTTTCTCAAGAATTTTGGATAAGAAAGGAAGATTGGATATAGGTCTATAATTAACCAAGTCATCTGGGTCAAGAGACGGTTTCTTAAGCAGAGGTTTAATTACAGCAACCTTAAAAGCTTTAGGTACATATCCCTGTAACAGAGATAGATTAATCACATCTAGAATGGAGGAGGAGATCAAAGGGAATACCTCCTTAAATAACCTGGTTGGAACTGGATCTAACATACAAGTTGAAGGCTTAGATGAAGACAATAATTTTGCTAATTCAGAAAGTTCAACTGGATCAAAGCAGTCTAAACCCGGTTCAGATTCCATGACTACCTCAGGTACAATCGCGGATAGAGGAGTGCTTATGATCTTATTTTTAATAAGATCAATCTTATTTATAAAGAATCCCATAAAATCATTGCTGCTAAGAGCAGGTGGAATGGACGGTTCAACAGAGCTATGGCTCTGGGTGAGTTTGGCAACTGTATTAAAAAGAAATCTAGGATTATTCTTATTCTCCTCAATTAATGAGGAGAAGTATGCTGCTCTTGCTTTACAAAGGGTCCTCTTATACAGCAGTAAACCATTTTTCCAGACTAGGAAGGACTCCTGCAGGCCTGTGGAGTGATATTTTCTCTCCAGTTTCCTAGCATTTTGCTTCAAAGTACGCAGCTCTGCATTAAACCAAGGAGCAAGCTTTCTATTTTTAACGGTTTTCATTTTCAAAGGAGCTGCGTTGTCTAAGGCAATACGCAGAGAACTAGCAACCCCATCAACAAAATCATCAACCTGTCAAGGGGAATAAGCTAAGCTTTTGCACTCTGCAGTAGAGACTGACATTTTTTCGGGAATCCCACGGGTCACGGGATTCTCGTGGGATTCCCGTGGGATGGGAGTCAGTATTAGTAACGATCACGGGATTGGGACGGTACAGGATTAAACATTAACGGGAGCAGACGGGAGCGGGAGCAAACCAATAGTAACTTCCGCTCTGAGTTTTTCACCCGTGCTCAAAAACAACAAGAATGGGAGTGGTGCGGGAGCGGGAGTCATTCTGAATGGGAGCGGGATGGGAGTGGGAGTAATTTCACCAGGAGTGGGACGGGACAGGATTTAGATTTCTACTCTGGCCCGGGATCGGGACGGGACACCATTGTTTTCTGTGGGAGTGGGACGGGACAGGAGTGAAAATCCACTCCCGTGTCAGTCTCTAACTCTGCAGCACTGCTCAGCGACACAGAGAGAAAGTGAAACAGATTCTTTAAAATGTATAACTGCACTATCTGATAAAGATCTACTAAAATGGAACCTTCTTTTAGGGGGAGGAGAACTCTGTTAAAGTAATCCTGAAGGTTATTAGAAAGTGGTCAGAGAGGACAGGGTTGTGAGGAAATACTGTTATTTCTTCACATTCTATGCCGTATGTCAGCACAAGATCCAAAGTATGAAGATGAGAATGTGTGGGACTATTCACATTTTGAATTTAGTCTTTTGTTTTTAAAATTGAAAAAGAGAGATTAAAAAAATTAAATAAGTAGCTTCTTGATTTTAAAAGGCTCATCAATGCAGTGATCATTAGATCAGAGGAACCGGATCAGAAGAAATCGGTAGGCTCACAGGAAATGGAATCAGACACATTGCAGGAATAAATTATTTTAATAATAAATTATTCTTATCAAATGCAAACAGCACAAAGCTGTGCAGCACCTTTAGTAAACAAACAGCCTTT